ACACCGTAATGTACATTTCTTAACAACAATTTCTGATAGCGTTAAAAATTAAGGTACTTTACTCCTGCATAAAATTCATAGTTTTCGATAAACCTCGTACATGACTGAAACACAATTTGATATCTGATATTTGTATTTTAGTTTTTAGACCATGCAGAACGTTTTATCAAGAATACATTTGTCATTAAACTAATAAAAAAAAAAGTTTTTCATATGGGACCGACTTAAGATATGGTTAGAAAGTGCGAATTGTATAAACAAATGGATTGTTTCAATCCAAATTTATCGTTCCACTAGTAAGTTTAAATTTGGGTAAATTAAAGGTTAGGTTTTACCTACCGAAGTATTTATAGTGTATAAAATATTGATTGTTTAAAAAAAAACTTAATGCGGCCTTGTTTACTAAGATGTTCACGTTTTGTCTGCGTATATTTATGACAACGACCGTGGCTTATCCCGATGGGCCAATTTGAGTTGGAACTTCCAGGATGGATATCCAAGAAGCAAACCTGGATATTATAATTTTTTTTTACATATTGTTAAAATAAAATTGTAATTATCTGTATATATAAATAAAGATTTTTAAGTAAGTTTGCGTATATTTACTTTCCTTTAACTTAAATATAGATAAGAGAAAGAACAGAAATAATATGTACCTAGTTATTTTAAAATTATGTCAAAAATAAATAAGTAACTAGATATAAACGATATCTAAACATAAAACTAGCTACATCTAGATTGAACCTCTATAGACAGATGTACCATCCTGTATTTCCGTACATGTAGATTAATCTATTAATATTATAGAGGTACATAAACGATATTATACAAGCATGCAGTTGCAATTTATATTAACTAAATGAGTTATAGTACACTTGATACCTACCCACATTGCGATTATTTTCAAAATACACACGGCAGTCTGCATTGTAATAGGCGCTTTATTTTATACATCACGAAAAGTTTTGATCTCTCTGTCGTTTTTAATTAAATCTAAGTACTAAAAATAATTAATATCGACTTCATTTTATAGACTTATTACCCGTTTTTTTATGTGGTTAAAATTATCACCTGAAGGAACTTCACTTAGAAACAGCCTGTAATGTTCTTTCTGGAAATCTCTCATAATTTATAGTTCTACTGCCTTGCCTCTTGGGCAATAATTTTCCTATCGAATCGAATTAGCTTTAGCTAATTTTTTACCGCTACTAAAAACAAAGAGCCGAAAGAAAGCACTTCACTGGCCATTTTTCACGTTTCACTTTTCCATTATTTTTACTGAAAAGATACGATCAATTTCCTGCAGCAAAATTTTCAACTTTCCAAGAAAAAAAAAATAATTTCCTTCAATTCTCTTTCAGAGCTAAGGCGATCTGTCTTGTTTTGTCTTAGAGTAGACGGCTTCTACAGGGTGATCTAGTTCAGTTTAGCGTTTTGGCTTGTAACGTGTATCTGCAATTATACGAATTACTTTTAGAGCAACATCTCAAGACATATGTTCCATGTTTACGCTCAGAATTTGTTATTTAACATTTCTACACAATTACAGTGAACTTTGTTCTAATTTATTCGGCTTCGGCTTTTTAGATATTATCTATGGATATACATCATGTCAATTTAAAAACTTCCCATTGGCAATATCCTATATTTAAAAAAAAAAGATATTAAAAATTGCTTAAAATAGGCAGATTTTTATTCCAAGGGGAATCCTTTCTATCATATTCTCGAATGTCATTCACCAATACAATTTAAATAGGGAAACTACTGTAATGCGAGCCATTTCATTATTCAGTCATGCTCTAATCCTCCAAGTCCCTCTCTGTCTTATTTGGCCTTTGAGGCTCAACTTGTCCGATTATTATACATAATTAAACCCCTTAAGACCAAACATTCTTGCTAATTTTGATATTTTAATGTGTCTTACATATGCGGCAGTGGGCCCAATAGCAAATTAAAATGCTTGAAATTGGTGAGGCTGCAGAATTTATAATGGTCGGTAGAGAAAGGGTTGTTTAAGTGAATACAACCTTAAAAATATAAATAAAATGTTAATGAATACAATATAACATTTATTTTTATAAGTCTACTGTCCTTGTCAGTGGAACACAAATTATCACTCAAATTACGTTATCAGTAATATAGCATATTCTACAAAAATGGAAATATATGACAAGCATCATATGCACCTACTCTTCGAATTTTGAAATCCAAGCTGACAGTTTGTAATGTGTAGTGCTTAAACAAAAAGTATATTTTTTTTATAAATTTTTCAATTACACTTTAGATGCGAAATATACTACTGTCAATCTTGAATAGAAAAAATAATAATTAATAAATACAGTTATAATAAAGCACACAGCAATTATTCGAAAAATGTGGCAATTTCGTGTTTTTAATCGTCGGTTATTAAAACTACTCGCAGATCAGTAATTTTAGAGATAAATAAAAAAAATAGTGGAAAGATGAAAGATCTCGAATCTCACTGTTAATGCAAGATTTTATTTTCAGATCGAAGATTCTGTGCGAGTCTTTAAATTCCTGTCCATAAAAACCGAAGAAAATTTATCGTTTTCTTGTCAGATATAAAATAACAAGTCGACCGGAAAGGTCGAATCAAGGCCGATGATCGACATCGACATGAACAGATAAAAAACGACAAATGGTGTCACGAAAAGGACTATTGAAACAGTTCGAAATATTGTACAAGAGGTTTAGTTACAAAGTTTTAATAGATAAATTATTTGTTGATATGAAATTCGGAAATGACAAATTATTATAATTTACTGTTTTTAATAAAACGTGCATCTATACCCTAAAGTGATTAACAGTACAGATGTTTGTCAATTGTTGTTCTTAAATATTTAGTAACAGTCTCTGGAAACGATTTTTACTAATTTCTCATCATTATTTATTTGTAGGGAATTACTATATAAAGGTAAAGAATTGTAATAGCAGCTAAAAGTAATAAAAGAGGTTCAAGATTTACTGACTATTATCTACAATTAAAATATTTCTGTTTAACTATGAAACAGCCTGTATAGCAAAAATTAAAAAACGCAAATTGAACACCAAATATTGTCACTACCGGTTTTGAATGTAGCAGAAATGTCACCCAACTTAGGCATGCTAAACAGGGTTGTCAATAAGAAACTAAAAATTGCACCAACTCTTTAAGATATTATTGTTTGTCATTAATAAACGCTGTTGCTAGGTACACGCTAAAGTGTACGCAAATCAAAAAATTATATACACGCGAAACGTCATATTGCTGTGGTGGGAGGTGTTTGTGTGAATGCGTCTTGTTTGTTTTCATTTACGCCGTGACTAGCACAGTAGTATTTTATAAACCTTAGAAGCAAATTTCACATACATGAACAAATAATAATAATGCCGAGACAACAAGAAAACGAAGTAACGACTTCTCGTAAAAAAATTTCAATCCATACCTAGCTACGACCGGCGTAAACACCAACGGCCTGCACACAGCTCACCTACTCTGTCAAGACGTTTCACGTGTATATAAATATTTGAATTGCGTACAAGTTAGCGTGTACCTAGACACTGTGATTAATAAACGAAAATTATATAATTAAAAATAGTTTATTACTTAATGTAACGTTCCATTCACGTTTAGGAAATATTTTTAAAATTTAAATAAAAGTTACAATGTAACCGGAGTTTAAAAGAAATATTCTCCGAAATATTATGTAGCAATTTAAACTAGATTAAAGCAGTGTTTCTCAAACTTTTTTGAAGACGGAACCTTTTTGAAAAGCGAAATATTTGACGGAGCCCTAAACACATTTCTAAAAAAAAAGGTCCTCAAGCCAGGTCCTTCCCTTTTGTGGCGATAGTACTGCTTCTTTTTTATTATTATTATTATTATTATTATTATTATTATTATTATTATTATGACTATCATTTTCTTCGCGGAGTCCCCCCAAAGGCTTTGTGGAGCACACTTTGAGTATCACTGAGTTACTAGGTTCTTTCGTTCGTCCCACTGGTGTAGTAATGAACTACACCAACGCACACCATACCTTTCGTTTGACCCGGTGTAAAACCCACTATATCTTCCTGTCGGCGATGTGGTGTACACTGGTGGATATTTTCTCCACCAGCTATTAAGCAGGAGTGAATTACACTCGACATGTTTATAAGGAATAAGGAGGAAGTAAATTAGGGTAAATAAGGTGGTGTAATTGGTGAAATTTACACTGGTGGACACTACACCAACAGCGAACGAAAGAACCTAGACTATCTATCGAACAGGCCTGCTCGGCGAGAGAAATGGTGTCTGAATGGTCCAGGTAAGACGTAAATTTCTTTCTCTTCCTAAATATATTATTTGATTTTTATTCAATTATTTGAATTAAAAAATATTACTTTATTAATATGTAACAAGTGCTTATATGTTAATCTACTTTCATGAGTTAATTTAAAGGGGATTAACAACTCATTTTTTTTTATATAACGAACATTTTCGAATAAGTACCGGATTTTATTTTTAGCTGGCTGTAATTTGTTGGTATAATTATAAGAGTTGTCTGGGTCACCACTAGGGGTGGACAAAATTATTATCGATTAATCGATTATTTTCGATTATTCGATTAATAATAATAATCGATTTTTAAAAAAATTACAATCCAATTAAAAAATGTGTCAAACTGTCAAAAATGTGTATCTGACCTACTGTAAATTAGTCAGAAGTAGAAAGAACATGGGGATATTTTTTTTACTATAAATTATTTTGGATAACAATCCCGATACAACAAATATGGGTTTATAAATAGATGTAACGCTAAGAGACGTCTTTATATAAAATGAATAATAACGATTTTTCTCCTATTGTGAACAACTTCCGTAGTATATTAACTTATTTCCAATTGTTAATATCTCAAACTATCGCAGTTTAAATTTTGATTATTTTTCTTATAAAGAAACGTATGATTTTTGCTTCGAATTATAAAGAAATATAAACAAATATATTGAACACTCACCTGCTGCTATGATCCTGAAAATTCCCGCCGTCTAGTAACCTTAACTTGGCGAACAGTACGGCCGAAACGAATGGTACTTCGAGCAACTCCTCGAGGCATATCTCCACTTGAAACTTATACTTCTTCTTTTTGGTCATGAATGACGCCATGCCGGCGCCCCGTCCGTTGGTCATGCAGCCACTCCCTGCACGTACAATCACTATTTAGGACATACTGTATAATCTACTATATTCGACGGTTTCGGGTGCGCGCACTGTAAGTTTCGTAGGAAACGCGCGTAAATAATGCGGATAAGTCAACTCACATTAGTACAAGTACGATGTTGGCGTTATACAAACTCGATATTACAAGACAGGTTTGGCTTTTGATGACATAGTAATCACGTAGAAAACACGTTGGAATTTAGGCTTAATGACGTCGTTTATTGCTCGGTTGCGTTGAAGTTTAGGCTTACGAAGACCTAGCGGAACGCGACCGAAAACACTATAAAATTAGATATGTAATTGATCACTGCGCTGTAGTGTTTCTTTGTGTGATGTTATTTTTAAAAGATTAATTTTAATGTTTATAGTAGAATAACGAGTACCTATGTTTTAGATTTTTTCAATATCTCACCGAATATAGATTTTTGGCGTTTGAAGAAGTTGCAAGTCAATCTGAAAACAATAAAAAGAAAATTAAAAAAGTTATCCATCTTTCGAATGTGTTATCTGTTTATTTATCCTAATATGCCTATTGGCCTAATTTCCACGATACTTATTAATATTGAATAATAACAATATACGTTCATATTACAATATTTACATAGTTTTGATAATACCAGAAACACCGAAGATTAAATAATTATTACTGAAATGGATATGTTTATTAATTTGCTGCCTAAAAAGACACATTAGTCATCAATTCAGCAGAAGAAGCAACATTGTTCTGCGCCAGTGTGAAAGCCTGGCTAGATTGAGATTTACAATATTAGGCGAAAACATATATCTGACAAGGTAGCGGTGAACAAGGACAAATAATGTTTAACGCCTTTCAAATCTATTATTTATTTTTAATTATTTTTATTTATTTTTAATTATTTTTAATTATTTTTATTTATTTTTATTTATTTTTATTTATTTTTATTTATTTTTATTTATTTTTATTTATTTTTATTTATTTTTATTTATTTTTATTTATTTTTATTTATTTTTATTTATTTTTATTTATTTTTATTTATTTTTATTTATTTTTATTTATTTTTATTTATTTTTATTAATTTTTATTAATTTTTATTAATTTTTATTTATTTTTATTTATTTTTATTTATTTTTATTTATTTTTATTTATTTTTATTTATTTTTATTTATTTTTATTTATTTTTATTTATTTTTATTTATTTTTATTTATTTTTATTTATTTTTATTAATTTTTATTTATTTTTATTTATTTTTATTTATTTTTATTTATTTTTATTTATTTTTATTTATTTTTATTTTCATTTATTTTTATTTATTTTTATTTATTTTTATTTATTTTTATTTATTTTTATTTATTTTTATTTATTTTTATTTATTTTTATTTATTTTTATTTATTTTTATTTATTTTTATTTATTTTTATTTATTTTTATTTATTTTTATTTATTTTTATTTATTTTTATTTATTTTTATTTATTTTTATTTATTTTTATTTATTTTTATTTATTTTTATTTATTTTTATTTATTTTTATTTATTTTTATTTATTTTTATTTATTTTTATTTATTTTTATTTATTTTTATTTATTTTTATTTATTTTTATTTATTTTTATTTATTTTTATTTATTTTTATTTATTTTTATTTATTTTTATTTATTTTTATTTATTTTTATTTATTTTTATTTATTTTTATTTATTTTTATTTATTTTTATTTATTTTTATTTATTTTTATTTATTTTTATTTATTTTTATTTATTTTTATTTATTTTTATTTATTTTTATTTATTTTTATTTATTTTTATTTATTTTTATTTATTTTTATTTATTTTTATTTATTTTTATTTATTTTTATTTATTTTTATTTATTTTTATTTATTTTTATTTATTTTTATTTATTTTTATTTATTTTTATTTATTTTTATTTATTTTTATTTATTTTTATTTATTTTTATTTATTTTTATTTATTTTTATTTATTTTTATTTAGTTTTGCGATACTCCCCAATTCCCCCTCCTTAAAATGTGAAAATCCAAAAACCTTGAAATACGTCATTATTTACAAAAAATAAGTAGTTACAATTCCAATTTTCAAGTTCCTACCTTTAAAAAACCGAAAGTCTCATACAAACTTTCACCTCCCGTTTCCCCCCTTAATGTCTATTTATTTATAATAAGTAGTTACAATTCTAATTTAAATTTTCTACCTTTAAAAAAGTAATATCTCCATACTAAGTTTCCCCCGTGACCCCCCTTTCTAACATTCCTTCCCTGTCTTTCCCTTCTCCCCATTTCCCCTTAAAATATGAAAATCCAAAATCCCTGAAACAAACCATTATTTATTCATGATGAGTAGCTATAATTCCAATTTTCAAGTTCCTACCTTTAAAAAATCGATACTTCCATACAAACTTTTAACCCCCGTTTCCCCCCCCCCCCTTAAAATGTGAAAATCCAAAAACCTTGAAACACGTCATTATTTATTTTTGCTCAGTAGCTGTATTTTAAATTTTCATGTTTCACTACCACTATTTAAAAAATCATGTCTGTCTAAACACAAAAACAAATCGATCCTACGAGAACCGTATATTTTCCGGGATAAAAAGTAACGTATGTGCTAGTCCAGACTATAATCTATCTTTGTGCCAAATTTCATCCAGATCCGTTCAACCGTTCTTGCGTGACTGAGCAATAAACATCTATCCATCCATCCAAACTTTCGCATTTAAAGGATGTCCCAAAAAGAACTTGAATTTTTAATGACAAAGAAAACATAGTATTTAACGAAAATTATACAAATATTTTATTGGATTTTCAAGAGAAAATATTGACATTAAACCTGAAACAAAATATCTGTCAAATGGCAACCGCGACTCCGTTGACAGGTGTATATTCGTTTGACGAAATTTTGGAAGACGTTTTCGAGCAAAATCGCCTAGATTTCACGATTATTACGTTCGATTTCTTCCTTCAGTTGTCGAATCGTCTCAGGATGGTTCCTATATAGTCTACTTTTTAAATACCCCCAGAGGAAATAGTCTAAGAGCGTCAAATCGCAACTTAACGGCGGCCAGTTTTGGTCTCAAAATCGTGAGATGACACGACCTGGGAAGTTTGTTTGCAGTAACGCCATTATTTCACGTGGGGTGTGGCAGGTCGCGTCGTCCTGTTGAAACCACAAGTTATTTATGTCCATTCCATTCACTTCCAGCCAAAGAAAATCTCTTAGCATGCTACGGTAGCGATCACCATTTACAGACACCTTCATTATTTTGAAAAAAATAAAGTTTGATGATCCCTTCTGCCCAAATGGCGCACCAAACTGTTACTTTTTCAGGATACATTGGAAGCTCGTGCACGGCATGTGGACGCTCTTCCCACCAAATCCGACAGTTCTGTTTATTCATAAAGCCGTTCAAATGGAAGTACGCCTCATCACTAAAGATAATTTCGTTGTGGAATGCATCGTCAACTCCGTGTTGTTCCAATATCCAATTCGCAAAGTTTCTGCGCTGTCTATGATCGGCTGGCTTCAGCTCTTGCGTCAACTGTATTTTGTAAGGATGAAGATGCAAATCCTTTGTCAAAATTCGTTCTAATGTACTGTCACTCATATTTAATTCCTGGCCGCCATGTCGGATGGAAGTGTTTGGATGTTCGTTAACACTGGCTCTCACGGCGGCGATGTTTTCAGCAGACCTTCCAGGACGACGCCTAACACTTGTCTCCTCTTTCAATGCAAATGTCCGCTCAAATTTGTTGATCAAATTTTCAATAGCGGGTCGCGACGGACGATTATGTACACCGAAATGTTCACGTTAAGCCTTGGTTTCTTTGAACACTTCGTCGCGGTGAGCGAACAGTCCGTCAACGGTCGCGTTTTGACGATTTTATCCAACCAGAGTATTTAAATGGGAATGGTTTTCTTGAATTCGCTTAGCTGAGCAGGACGGCGTCATGCCGCTGATTTGTCGCGAAGAGTCGGTTGATATCTGTTGAGTTTGATATCAGCGGAATCGTCGGCGTGTGCGGAGACTATATTGTTATTAATTTTAAAACAATAAGTGACAAATTCACACATACAGATGACATCATGACTTTATTTTTAGGTTTCTTGGAAATTATGTCCTTTATAAAACTCAACACGAATTCAAAAAGATCTGTAGAAAGTCTAAAATACTCCCTAAATTTGGTTTCAATTCCAAAAAGCCTCCGCTGCACAGTGATATTAAAGGCACCTTCTGTATCGCGACACAAAAACAACTCATCCACTGGCTTATTGGAAACTTTGACGGTTGCCATTGCCAGTTCCTCTTGTTCTTCCTCTTCCAACAATAATAATAACGCAAACAATTTAATTGCATCCATTTTAGTACTTTTCGTTTACATTCATAATACATAAACAGCACGTACAGACATAGAGAAAGTATCATTTTCTATATTTTTTAACAAACCACCTCGGGCGAAAATTGCTGTCCTCAGCGGTCGACGGACTGTCCGCTCACCGCGACGGAGTGTTCAAAGAAACCAAGGCTTAACCTGCGCTTTGTCACTATAAAATTTCCTCCATTTCTGTAATGGGTCTTCACAATTAATAAACGTTCTTCAAGAGTGTAACGCGGCATTTTCGTTAATGTCAATGTCTTGACAGAACACATGACTAATATGGCCCACTTCATGTTTGACAGATGGAAATGGTACGCGATTTAAAATTCAAGTTCTCATTGGGACACCCTTTTAATACTAGTAAGATTAGTAATGTTTTGATTAAACCATCATTTTCAAATATAACGTCAACTAAAAGAAAGCTAGCGAACAGATATTGTAGAAACTCATCATAGTTTTACACATTTAAAGTAATATGATGAAAAAAGGGTGTTTAATTTATGCTCAAAAAGAAATTGTTCAATTTTTGGGTACTATTCATGATTATATTTATTAAATGCTACCGAAATATGGACATGTTCAAAAACTAATTTTATATTTCAGTGATCATGTCAATTTTGCATGGTTCACTTATTGAAAATCTGTGGACCTTTTGTTATAAGAAAATATAATCAGAAAAGATCGGATGCGTGTATCTGTCTGAGCAAGAGCAGGTTTCGTATTGCAACAGGAATCCTTACAGACACCTTAGTAAACTGAGAGTAGTAGAAGATAATGAATGCAGATTCTGTGAGGATGATGAAACCTCCATTCATTCTGACTGAATGTGTAGCAGTCCAGAATACCACTATACCTAGGAGCATACCAAATAGAAGGGGGAGATTTAGGTACCTAATTTGAAAACACTCCAAATCTTACACTTCCAACATAGTGTGCCAATTGTAATTGGACGGGGCTTGTACCTATTTTTATAAGAAACATATTTGACTTCGTATGTTAAAATTAGCATTTCTTTAGTTTATATTGATTTTCATTGGTTCACATTTAATAATAGAGTTTTTCTGATGGAATTATCATGAATTAACTTCCCCATTT